CCTAGGCAGACATATCCCCCAATTAACCAGCGAAAAGTTGGAAGTAGAGGTGTGGCTCAAGTAATACAGTGCCAGCCTTCAGTGAAAAAGCTTAGGGAGGGTGCTTAGGCCCTGAGTTCAAGCCCCAGTGCCAGAAAAATGAAAAAGAAAGAAAAGAAAGGTGGATGAGAGATAAAGTCACACTGTCGACCTTGCAGTGTTTACATGGTTCCCAGTTTTTGTTTTTGTTTTTGTTTTTTGTCGGCTGTGGGGCTTGAACTCAGGGCCTGGCCGCTGTCCTTGAGCCTCTTTGTGCTCAAGGCTAGCCCCCGACCACTTGAGCCACAGCAGCACGTCTGGTTTTTGAGTGGTTAATTGGGGATCAGAGTCTCACGGGGACTTTTCTGCCAGGGCTCGCTTCGAACTGCTAGCCTCGGATCTCAGCCTCCTGAGTGGCTAGGATTACAGGTGTGAGCCACCATGCCCGGCATGATACCAGTTTTTGATCTACAAAGATGGGAGGCGGGAGGAGGCGCACCAATGGGGGCAAGACACCAAGGTTGGGAGACAGAAGCGCATGCGCACTGTTGGGAGGGCTCCGTGTCTGGGTTGCTCGTGGAAGCTGCGATGGACAGGGGCAGGGACTTTCGGGTGAGTGGTCATGAGGCCGCGGGAAGATGGTCACCGTTCATCTAGGCTGTTTTCCCATCGCAGCCCAAGGGGATCAGAGTGTGGTGGGAAGGCAGGATGCCCGGTCCAGTCCTGGCCTGCCTCCTGCTTCCCTGGGGGGCTGGAGCAGGTCATGGCCCTCCCGGGCCGCAGCGCCTACCTAGACAGTCAGACCTTGGAGTTCTGCATTCCTAGAAATGTAAAGTGACAGCCTTCAGGGCCTGGCAGGGAGCAGAGGGGAGGCTGGGCAAGAAACAAAGGGACAAGTAGGATGGCCTTCACCCTGCTCAAGTCCTCCCAGGAAAGGAACGTGACTGCCTGAAGTGGTCCATGCACCTTCTCCAAGGAGGGGATGTGTGCATGCAACCCATGGTGTTGGGGAGGGGGGTGGCGGAGGGGGAGGGGACAGCAAGGGGGAGGGGAAGTGAGGGAGGGGGCAGGCTAGTCCAGGGAACTGTGTTCCAGGAGACATGGCCGCTGTGGATGCCTGTAGTGTCAGCATCCAGTATGACATTTTGTGTGTGTCCCAGTCCTGGCTTGACCTCAGGGCCTGGCTGCTGTCCCTGAGCCTTTCCCACCAAGGTTAGCGCTCTCCCACTTGAACCACAGCACTATTTAAGAGGGGTCTTTTTTTGGTGGTTCATTGGAGATAAGTTATGGACTATTCTTCCCAGTCTGGCTTTGAACTACGATCCTCAGGACTCAGCCTCCTGAGTAGCTAAGATTACAGGTGTGAGCCTGGCAAATGCACATCAGTTTTGAGTGAGAATGGAAAGAAATAAACGCAGGGGTGTTCACTGGTATGTGGTGTGGAGACGTTGCCACCTGGCAGGTAAAGTGTTGGTGGTCACACAGCAGAACACCGTTACAAGGACTAGGTAGATTCACATGCACAGGGAGAGAATGCTTTCTTGAGCATTAATATTAAGTGAGAGAAGCTAAGTTGGAGGATGGAGAGTTGATCTCAAATCCCGCAGAGTGAAAAGTGTTGCCCTGGGGCGGTACCATGGATGTGCTCTCACCAATCCAGAAAGTGAACAATAAATGCCTCCACCAATCAGGAGCAAAGGATGGAGTGAGGGGCGGGACAGAAGGACAGAAGTGTTACTGTAGTGCCATTCCCTCCATACAGAAACAGGGGGAGTAGAGAATAAGTGTTCCTCTTACAAATATCTCTGGAAGGGTGCACAGGGAACCTATTATAAGTGAGGTTGCCACTGGCGCTGGTGGCTCATGCCTGTTATCCTAGCTACTTAGGAGGCTGAGATCTGAGGATCACAGTTTGAAGCCAGCCCAGGCAGAAAGTTCCACAAGACTCTCATCTCCAATAAACTACTGTGCTGTGGCTCAAGTGGTAGAGTGCTAGTTGAGCAAAAAGAAGCTCAAGGACTGTACCTAGGCCCTGAGTTCAAGGCCTAGAACCAGTAGGGGGGAAAGACAGGGGGGGGTTGCCCCTAATAAATGGACTGGGAGACTGGCACGAAAGAAAGGAGATTTGTATAGCAATTCAGGAGCACAGGATCATTTGATTCCCTTCTAAAGATGTATGGCATTGGCTGGGCACCTGTGGCTCACACTTGTAATCCTAGCTACTCAGGAGGCTGAGATCTGAGGATTGCGGTTCAAAGCCAGCCCGGGCAGGAAAGACCGTGAGACCCCTATCTCCAATAAACCACCAGAAAACCGGAAGTGGTGCTGTAGCTCAAGTGGTAGAGCGCTCGCCTTGAGCTGAAGAGCTGAGGGACAGCGCCCAGGCCCAGAGTTCAAGCCTCACGACCGACAAAACAAAAACAAAAACAAGATGTATGGCACTTCCTCTACTTACAGATAATTTCCCCTGCAGGTAGGGTCACTAGCGGTATCTTGGGATCACACGTTCTAGCACTGCTTACCCTGTTTTTTGTTTTTAAGCTGGGTATCTGAACATATACTAAGTAGATGACCTCTACTTCTGTCTTCCCCAAGTTTAAAACAAAATTCCCAGCTCCCTTTGTCTGCCTCCAGTCCTTTGTCTTACACCGGGCACAAGGCCTTACTTGATTGACTCTTCCTTTTCTGCACGAGCCTCGCTCTGCTGTCTCGATTTCCAGTTGCAATCACTTCCTGGGGCTAAAGCAGTGAGCCCAGACAGCATGTGTTGGTGAATCACTTTCTCAAGACTTTTGTGAATGCTGAAATCCACCTCTATATTTACATAGGATGCTTCTTAAATGACTGACTCCAAAACTTCGATACATTCGTTTTAAAAGGCTATTTTATCTCACACCAATAAATGGCATTAATTTACCATAAAAAGGAAAGTACCAGGTAAGTATAATAAACCCAGAACAATGTTATTAAATTCCAGCTATGACTAGACACGTGATTTGCAGCTGCCTAAGTAGCACAAAGTCCTGAGTTCAAACCCCAGTGCTGAGCAAGATAAATTGAGGAAAAAGAGGCCTGGTCAGGAACTCAGTGGTATTTAGAAACACAGAAGTACTATCTTTGCTTCAAGGGGAGACAACAGGATGCATTCCCCCTTGAGAGATGTGTTTCTCATCCCAGGAATGAACATTTATCTGGCAGGATGTATGCCTTCCTGAGACAGAAATGCTACCCCCAAACTTAAGCAAACACTTACCCAAAATGCAGATAACAGGGTACTGTCCTTATCTCAAGGATAAAGATCTGTTTTATAGCAGGATGCATTCTTACCTGGAAAGAATGCCCCCAAACATCCAGAACCTTAGAAAGTAACACTAGGAGTGATTAGAGCAAAGATTAGGGGTTGGGGGCTTAGCTCAGTGGAAGAGCAGCTCTGCGGTGGGGGGGGGAGCAAAGATAATACATCTATCCTTGCATAACTTTGAAGTCGGACCCCCTGCCTTTACCCTCTAAATTCCCCTACCAGCCAAGGATCTGGGTGTCTCTATCTCACCCCAAGAGATCACCCACACACTGTTAGAGTGCCCCCTCTCCCTTCTGCTTGCCAGTTTGCCTGCTTACTTACTCAAGCTCCGTCAAGCTATTTTATCACAGTGACTTGTGCAGAAATTCTCATCCTGCGATCGAAGCCAAGGACCAACCTTAAGAGTTCCTACATTTAGAGGGAAGCTTCACAAACCTTCACCTGCTTCTGGTGACAGTTTCAAGAGAAAACAACTCTATGTGCAATCTAGGGCTTAACCGAGCGCTACCTCTTCTTAACTGAGCTCTTCCTCTTCTTTTTGTATACACGTGTAGAGCAAAGCTGGTGTTAGCGACTGGTGGCTTATTTAGTTCCTCAGAAGGCTTGAGAGGGGCTGCGCTCACTGGGTGAGCCAATGTTATTTAATGCCTTGTAATCTCTGCCTGTGATGCTCGATGCTTCTGAAAGAGGTTTGGTTTTGTGTCCAGGGCACCGGTGTCCTGTGATGCGAAGCCCGGTCTTCCTGCCATCGGGGGCCTGATGAACTTGGCCCTTTGGCATTCCAGCGGGCACTGAGGCACGGTGGCATTTCACTGTGGTTTGTTTGCCGCCTTTCAAGGGGGCAGCGAGGCAAGCGTTTGGAGGCGCAATCCCAACGGAGAGTGACGCAGGCCGGCACAAAGGGGAGCTTGTGCTGGGGAAGGAATTGGAAGAATCTCTGGACCGGGAAGAATCACTGGGTGGCTGTCAGGGGTGATGCATGGAATCGCCTCAGGAAACCTTCCCTACCGAATTCCTCAGCCACACGGCTCCTGGGATGCGTCCCTGGGCTCTAGGAGCAGCTCCTTGGCAAGCCAGACGCCATCCATTCCACCAGGGAACCGTGGAGGAAAAGGGAAGGGAGGCCAGAGAGGAGAAGGGGTGGAGGCTTTGTGCAAGGTGGTCAGACATTTTACAGCACCAGTGGTCCAGACACTTCAATAAATGCATTGTCGGGGAAAAAATGAAGCAGAGTCAAAGGGGGGTGGCTCACGCCTGTCACCCTAGCTACTCAGGAGGCTGAGATCTGAGGATGGCAGTTGGAAGCCAGGAAAGTCTGTGAGACTTTTATATCCAATAAACTACTCAGAAAAAGGGTGCTGTGGCTCAAGTTGGTGGAGTGCTAGTCTTGAGCACAAAGAAGCTCAAGGACGGTGCTCAGGCCATGAGTTCAAGTGCCCAAAAAAGGCAGATTGAGGGACCCCTCCACATTAAAGGACACTCAAAAGACTCCACAGAAGGCAGTTGGATGGCTCAGCTCCTGAGCCGGGAATAAAGCAAGTTACGTAGCATGTTGTGGGGATAAGCTGGGAGAAATGTGAATAGAGACTGTGAGCGAATGGAGCCGTGTCTTGTTTGAATTTTGCTCTTGGCAGCATGTCTGACTTTGTGTCCTTGTCCCCTCTGCAGCGCACCCCGCTCGTGCCCCCAGGCCCACCCCACCCCGGGACCATGTTGGTGCTCCTCGCCTTCATCATCATCTTCCACATCACCTCCGCAGCCCTGCTGTTTGTTGCCACCATTGACAACGTAAGTTCCTCTTCCTGCAGACCACCTGGGAGCGCGCAGACAGGGGAGTCCTCTTGGCCTCTGTGTGGAAGGAACTTGTCCTGGAACATTCCAGGTTCAGGTTGGGATGGCAGGTGTTAAAGAGGACAGGGGCCTTTGTCTGCTCCCCTTGGGTTCCTTTCTGGCGCTGTATAGGACACCTGTGCCAGGAAACCCTTTGAGGATGGTGTGAATTCTCACCCCAGCTGTCTCATTTGGGGCTGGGTAGTTCTTGGTGGCAGGGCCTTCCTGCCCATTCACATCTTTGGGTGGTGGTTGTTCTTCTGCCCACTAGGTGTCAGTAGTACGTCTACCCATGCTCTTGCAACCAGCATTGTCTTCAGACATTGTCGGCTGTCCTACGAGCAAATATTCCTGTATTGAGGGACATGGCTTTAGATCCCCGCCTCCCCTCCCCCCCCCCCGCCGCCGACGCTGTGGGGGTCCCTCTCCCCCACCCTCCACCGGCCACCTCTGCTCCCTGCCCCAGATGCCTCCTACCCAGCCAGGAGCCCAGGTGGCTTCCTTCCCCTGCCCATGCCCTCCCTGGCTGAGCTCATGCTTGAGATTTTTGCAGATTTACTCTTTGCAGACTCTTGCATTTGGTGTTCACCCAGCAATAGGGAATGAAGTGTGTTAACCACCTCTTGGTGTACTTCGCTGATCCTAAGGCTGGTTTCAATCCTTATCACTTCACACTAAAGAGATGTTAAAGAGGAAAGTCTGTGAAACTCTTATCACCAGCTAACCCACAAAAGAGCAAGTAATGGAGCTATGGCTCAAGTGGTGGAGCACAGCCTTGAGTAGAAAAGCTAAAGTAAGGGACAGTGCCCAAGCCCTGAGTTCAAGTCCTAATACTGGCATTGTGCATGTGAGTGTGCCTGTGAGCATACACACAGTAAGTGCCTAAACTAGGATCCACCTATCTCCATTTCCCAAGTGGCTGGGATTACAGGTGTGTACTACTATTCCTGGCCCTGACCACTGTGTATCATGCTACCTCATCTCACCCCATGGGTCATGAGGACACCAGACACTTTGGATCCTTCTGTAGGTACGCAGCCTGGTGTCCCCTTAATCCTGGTAGGTAGGCCCCAAAGCCCCACCTCAGGCCACACCGAGTGAGCACTTGACCAAGATCCTCAGGGCCCTGCAGGCTGCAGCTGGAGACGATCTTCCCACCATGCAGCACACCTGTGAGGAGGCCATGTGGGTGTCATTCACTGACAGCCTTCCTCTGTTTCCATTTCTGTATCCAGGCCTGGTGGGTAGGAGACAACTTTTCTGTAGACGTCTGGAGAGTGTGCAGAAACAACTCGAATTGTACAGAGATCAATGAGTCGTTTTCAGGTGAGTGGGGGGAGAGGAGCCATAAAGCGTGTGTGGAAGGGGCGTGTTCCATGGCCTGGTGTCCGCGCCCCGCTTGCGCTCTGCATTCACGCCCGCTGGCTGCGCCCAGGGCCTCATGCAGGGGCGGTGTGAGCTGCAATCCCCATGCGCCAGGCGGGCTAAGGGAGAACAGTGTCTCCACCCCCATTCCTCCAGCCTCTGCCCCTGCCCAGGGCTTGCTTCTCACTGTCCAGGCCCCGCCTCCATGCTGCTTTCTGTCTAGCCATCCGGGGACTGAGAGATCTGATGTCCTGCAACCTCTATTGAACATAACGCGGGATACAACCCTGAGAACAGATTCACGGTGGCCCTGGAATACCAGGTCCCTCTGGGACCCCAGAGCGCATCTCCCAGAAGTTTCCCACCTGAGATTCTAAGCGTGCACTACTATACCTGGCTTTTGCCAAGGTTTTAAGGTTGTTGTTTTTTTTTCAGGGCTTGGATATGGCGTGGTGGTAGAGCAGGCATGAGGCCCTGAGTTCAATGCCCACTACCCAAGAAAACAAAAAACAAACAGGGTTTTCTGCATCACAAAGCCCTTTGTTTATTTTTGGTTCACTTAATGAGGATTTTACCACCTCTGGTCTCAGCTGAGGACACTAAGGTTCCAGGACATCAGATCTCTCAGTCCCCCGATGGCCGGGACTCTACCATTTGAGCCACAGCACCACTTCCAGTTTTCTGGTGGTTTATTGGAGATAAGAGTTTCATGGACGTTTCCTGCTCAAGCTGGCTTTGAACTGTGATCCTCAGATCTCAGCCTCCTGAGTAGCTAGGGTTTTAGGTGTGAGCCACCAGCACCCAGCTCCTATGTGTTTCTGTTTGACAAATTTGACAATGTATTTGGGGAGGCCAGGGCCCACACTCTCTGGGTCCCAGGCTCTCTCCTCATGTCCTCACCAGCATTGATACAGAAGCAGCAAGTCTCACTGACTGATCTGTGACGTGGGGGTGAGTCCTGTATACACACCATCTCACAGGACCTTAAACCAGAAGTGAAGGATGGAGCCAGGATTCCATTGAAATGGGACCCACTGAGGAATGCCCTGGATCTGTAATACAATCAGTGCTGCCTCCTCTTCTCTGGCTGGTTTTGGCCTATTTTTTTGGTGGTGGTGGTGGGGGCAGTAGAGGAGTTTGAACCAGGGCCTTGTGCTTGCCCTTGAGTAGAAAAGCTAAAGGGGCAGTGACCCTGAGTTCAAGCCCCAGTACTGGCACACATGCTTGCTACATGAGCCACACTACCAGCCCTTTTGCTCTGTTTATGTCATGCTAAGCCCTGGTCCTGGGAATAGCCCCATCCTCCCTGGGGGTTATGCATTTGTTTTTAATAAGTACCAAAGGGTTGAACGCAGGGCCTTGCCCTTACCAGACAGGTGCTCTACTAGTTAAGCCCCTATCTGCATTGGTTGCTTTGAAGGTAGGGTCTCCCTTTATGCCCTGGTGTGTGATCTTCCTATTTGTCCTCACTGGTGTGACTGGGGATGGCAGGCGTGCACTGAGCCCTTGTGCTTTCCCTAAGCTAGAATAACCTTTAGTTGGGGTGGAGTTTTGGAAACTTTGTTTGTTTTTGTTCAGGTTCTGGGGCTTCAATTGAGGGCTTCGGCAGAGTTCTTGAGTTTTTTTCAGTCAAGGCCAATGCTCTACCACTTGAGCCACAGTTCCACTTCAAGGGTTTTTTTTGGTAGTTAATTGGAGATGAGAGTCTCATGGACTTTCCTGCCTGGGTTGGCTTTGAATTGCGATCCTTATATCTCAGTCTCGTAAGTAGTCAGGATTACAGGTGTGAGCCACCAGCAAGACGGAGGCTTGCAAACTTTCATACTCAAGATGGCCTCAAACGAATTCTTCCATCTCCACTTGCCAAGTACCTAGGATTACAGGCTGGAGGCACCATGCCTGGTTATATTTGTTGTTTTTCATTAAAATTAGGAACTAAACTGAGTTCACGCTGAGGCTGGACCATGAACTAAGAGTGGTTCTGACATTTTTAAAGAGTTGTTAAAGAAAACGAACCAAAACAAACCAAAAAGCAAAGAATAGGTGACGAGAAACTGGACGGAGTGGGAGCCTGAGATATTTCCTGTCTGGCCCTTTCCTGAAAACACTGCCAATGCCGAGGCTTGCAAAGGCCGCTTCCCTTCCCTTCCATAAGCAAACAAACCGGTGTCACTTCCAAATAGAAGTAGGGAAGATTTACAAAATACTCTACCAGGACTATGGGTGTGGCTCAGTGGTAGAACACTTGCCTAGCAAGCATGAAGCTTGGAGTTCAAACCTCAGGTCTGCAACACAACAAAAAGCTCAAGCCGGATACGTGAGGCTCATGCCTGTCATCCTGCCTACTCAGAAGACTGAGATCTGGGGATCCCAATTCGAAGTCAGCTCAGGCAGGAAAGTCCATGAGATTCTTATCTCCAACTACTCACCAGAAAACTGGAAGTGGAGTTGTGGCTTAAAGTGGCAGAGCACTAGCTTTAAGCACAAAAGCTCAGGGGACAATACCCAGGCCCTGAGTTCAAGTACCATGACGATGACAACAACAACAACAACAAAGGTTGAGGTACCTTGCATGCATGTATGGAAATGTCACAATAAAACTCCCCCCCTTGTACAATGAATGGAAGCTAATTCAAAAAAATCATTAGAAAAAAAAGGCAAGCCCAGTTGGACACCAATGGCTCACACCTGTAATTTTAGCTACTCAGGAGTCCTTGAGACTCATCTCCAGTAACCAACCAAATAGCTGGGGGTGGAGCCGTGGTTCACATGGTAGAGTGCCATCCGTGAGTGAAAAAGCTATGCGCAGTGCCCAGGCCCCAAGTTCAAGCCTCAGCCCTGGCACAATGTGTTTTTAAGCCCCGCCCCGTCTCTGAGCCAGGATGTCCTCATGGTCTGAAGCAGGAAGAGAACAGAGCAGGGGGTCCTTTCTCCACCCATCTTCTGGTCAAGTTAAGGATCCTTACTCCATTTGCCAAGGGGTTGAGGACTACCGGCTCCCATGTGCCTCTAGAGAGGGGATCTGGAAGATTCCTTGGCTCCCCCAGCTCCTTCGCGCCCCCTCTCCCGCCTGGGCCTCTGGCGGGCCTTGCTGGCACAGGCGGCCATCCTCAGCCGTGCGTCTGCGTCTCCTCCGCCCGCAGATTACGCCACACTGCAGGCCGTGCAGGCCTCCATGATCCTCTCCACCATCCTGTGCTGCATCGCCTTCTTCATCTTCCTGCTCCAGCTCTTCCGTCTCAAGCAGGGAGAGAGATTCGTTTTAACCTCCATCATCCAACTCATGTCGTGTAAGTGGGGCTCCGGAGGCTGCTGGCGCTGGCACACAGAGAAGCCGCCTGCGGCCAGGGCTGCGTGCACTTGGTAGATTGGGGAATCTGGGTTTCCATGGGAGATCAGGGCAGTGGATGGAGACATGAAGGGTTCCAGCGGGACACCAGAGCGCTGGGCGCTTGGGATGGGGGAGCCGGGGAGGCTGGGCCAGGCCAGGCTGGGGAAGCGTGTGTGTACATATGGGCTGGAGCCATGTAGGCTGTGGAAATGAGCTGCAGACCTGAAAGCCATCCACAGAGAGGCCCATGTTGGGCCTAGCCCATGCTGCCAGGTCCTAGCTTCTGTCCCCCTGGAAAAGGCAGCCCTCCACCCCATGCCCTGACTGCTATCTGTGAGTGTTGGCATTGGCAGTGCTTCGTGAGTACAACTGCGCTTCATAGCAGACAAAATCCAACTATTGATGACTTTAACCGTGAAGACAGTGTCCGCTTGCTCACAGTCAGTAGCCTGCAGGTGGGACATTCAGGCAGTTTCTACTCCTCCCATTGTTCTGGCACCTTCTGAGTAGCAGTGGTGGCATCCTCCACCCCTGCCCCATGGATCTGAAAGGGTTGCAGCAGCTCCATACATTCCAGCCTAAACCTGACAGTATCTAAAGCAGTAAGTTGGGGAAACGATAACAAAAAACATAAATAAGCATACAAAAAAAAAAACCCTCAATCTCCTCCCTTATCTCTTTTCTGGAAATACTATTTTTCACTGAGCGATATTTCTGCAGCCTGAACTGGCCACACAACTGGACCTGTACGCTGCACTAATGAAAGAGAGTTGGAAAATGACAACTCACAGGCCAAAGGTAGCCAGCCACGTGTATTTTGTAAATAAAGTTTTATTGAAACACAGCTGCATCCATTTTGTCCACGGCAGCTGTCCTATTCCAGCAGGAAGAGTTGTCTTCAGCTGCAGCCATAGGTCTTGGGCTGTGTGGGGTTTAGTGTGATCCCCCATGACTTACCTGAACCCTGGGTTTGTTTCCCAACAGGTCTGTGTGTCATGATTGGGGCTTCCATTTATACAGACCGGCGCCAGGACTTTCACAACAACAACGCGGAATACTCTAGCTACATGATGGAGGAAGGCCGCTACGGCTACTCTTTCATCCTGGCGTGGGTGGCCTTTGCCTTCACCTTCATCAGTGGCCTCATGTATCTGGTCCTGAGGAAGCGCAAATAGAGATGTAGGCTCCGCCCGACTCCTGCAGTAGGCATTCACATCCACTTAACCATTTTGTACATAATCATTTTTCGTGTGTGTGGTTTTTCTAGCAAACATATCGTTTCCTTTAAAAGCCAAAAAGAAAAAAAAACGCAAAAAACAAAAACACAAAAAAAACCCTCACCCCTCCAAAAACAAAACCCCAACAACAAAAACCAAAGAAACGAGTGAGAGAGGAGTTTTGCGTTCTTGAGATCAGAAGATGGATGATGCAGGCTGGTTATTCAGAACTCTAAGGCAAACTGTGGAAATCGCTCAGCAGGGGCTTTCTTACCCACGGGGCTACGGCTGGCTGTGTGGGGCTGTGAACTGAGCCTGGTCTCTGGTTCTCTGGAGTCTCACCAAGCCCCTTCTGCCTCAGCTTTCCCTTCCCAAATCTCTGGTCAACAGGGGAGGCGGGCAGGGGAGGCCCAGGTTTTTAGCCAATCCTGGCATGTGTCTATCAGTGAGCCAAGAGCCCCAATAGGTGTGTGTGGGGGGTCACCATTCACCTTCGCTGGCTGTCTTCTAGGGGACTGTGATCCTGAAGCTGGGGATCCGATTTAGGCAAAGTTCTCAAAAGTAGCTCCTCAGAGCATTGATTCCAAAAATCTCCCACTTCGGCCATTTCCCAGACTCCCAGAATCTGCATTTCTAAGCAAGTTCCTCTGACCATCCTTCTGTACACTCACATTGGGGACACAGTCCCTGAGCCCCGGGGTGGGCGGGGGAGGGGGCTATCCCATGCACTTCAGCAGGCTTGTGTCAAGATGGCCCCAGTGCAGGCCGCAGCTGCACTCAGCCAGCTCCTGATTCCTACCGTCTCTTTCCTAGGTGTTGACATCTGGGCCACCTATACCCCACAGTCAGGCCTTGTGCCTGGAAACTGGATGGCTTGGAGTGGCCTTTCTCTTCCTGCCCCACAGTTGCCTCCATCAACCTCTACTTCTAGAGCCTCAGAATCCCTCCCTCTCTCCATCCCCTCTACCATTCATGTATTCATTCATTGATTCACAAACCAACCTAAACGATGGCATGCTTGCCCGGTGGCAGGCATAGGGGATACTCTCCCAAGACAATCTCGAGAATGATGATCTGCAGTGGGAGGGAGTGTCTTTAGTCTTGCCCACAGGGCACTGAGTGAATCCTAAATATAGTTCCACTCAGCAATGACAGACGGCGTCCACAGGGCAATGGCTGTCTGTTTCCCACCCCCGGGGTCACTGCAGTGGTGAAAGAGGGGATCCCCCTCTACCAAGCCACAGTCCTTGAGCTTTAATGGACTTGGGGTCACATAGGAGAATGTGTATGAGCCCCTCCTGAGACGTAGGGTGGTTGGTGTGTCTCTACTTAAACACTTTTATACGTGATTGCCTGCCATGTGAAGGAATGATCTGCCTTCATGGTAGTTCCAGTGGAGGTTCATTCATTCATTCATTGGTTTTCAACAAATAGTAATAAATGCTTATCATGTTCTGGGTACTGTAGGAAGATCTCAAAGTAGAAGACAAATGCAGACATCTTCCCTGCCCTCTTGGAGTTTGTAGGTTCTAAAATAGGACACCTCCCCCTGACCCCAGTACCTTAGGAAAGCCCTCAGCTTAGTATAGAGTGACATGGAGCCAGAGACAGGACAGATGGCCACCTCCTGCCTGGATGGAAGATTGTCATCAGTCACATGATGAACAAGAATGAATTTCAGCCGGTGCTGATGGCTCACACCTGTAACCACAGCTACTCAGGAAGCTGAGAGCTGAGGATCCTGGTTCTATGCCACTCGGGTAGACAAACCTGAGATTTTCTTTTTCTTCAGTTAACCACCAGAAATTTCAGAAGTAGAGCTGTGGCTCAGGTGGTAGAGCACCAGCCTTGAGTGGAAAAGCTAAGGGACAGCGCCCAGCCCCTGAGTTCAAGCCCCGGTACTGGCACAACACACATACCAAAGTATTGAGTCACATAGTGAGTGGAATGCCATGAAGGCTTCAGGAGGGAGGTGCAGAGGGGGGAGCTTTTCTGTAATGTTCTTATAGCCACAACAGAAGCAAAGGAAACACCTTCGAACCAACCAGAGCCGTGGGAAGTCTGGGGTTATAGGAGTACCTGCAAAGGTGTTGGATCCCGTGGGAATGATGCAGATGACCCAGTGGGGTTTTCCTGGGTGGCTGCCAGTGTGTCCAGCATCAGTGCCCACCTGTCTGTCATACAGAGTTTTGAGACAGGAGAGAAACCTCTTCTCTGCTGTGACAAGCATTTGGAACCTGGAAAAGAGAAAATAGTGTGAGACAGGAAGCATCCGGCAGATCTCCAAGGAAACACAATCAGCCCTGGCTTATGGTCATCATCTGCTCTCCAAGGTCACCTTCAAGGTTAGCGAAGGCATCCGCGAAGCAAATGTTAGGACCAAATCTGTTATTGTATCTGAGGGACTGTAGTTTGCATATCTTGTATGACTTAAAAAATAAAGTACTGTAATTCTTTCATGGGGGAGGGGTGTGACAGAGTCAGACTAACTTGTTTTGTTTTGCATTAAAATGATTCTGGGTTTCTGTTGAAATGTCTTTGGAGAATGCTTGGTGTGTTGCTTTCATAAACGTGTGCACAGACTTGAATACAGGAAAATGGTAGAATGTGGATTCTCATACCCCACAACATGTTGGTGACCTGTGTGCAGACAGGCTAATATCCTAGGGTGCTCGGTGTAAATCTTACACTCAGAACATAGCCACCGTGGGGAGCTGAGTCAGCAAAATCTGTCCCCATGGAGACTTAAATGTACAGGTTACTGACCAAGCAGCAAGTGACGCAATTTTTTTTTTTCAAATCAGAAAAGGCCACCATGGTAAGGAATTGCTACAGAAAGGCAGAGGGGTTCATGGTAAAATAAAAATCACCTTTGGGGACAATGGTGATTTTATGGTAGGTACTGTTTAGTTAAATATATCTTTAGGATAGCCCTTTTTCTTTGTTTTGTATTCTCTGAAACCACATGTGAAAGATAAAATGTAAAACCAAATGGCTCAGAGCAATAAACTTTGTATTCCCGCTATGAGAGAGGGGCCGGGGGCTGCTGGGCTCAGTGATGAAGTGCTTGCCTAAGAAGCATTGAAGCTCTGGCTTTGATCCTCAGTACCAAGAATAAGACAAGACAAAAAATGAGGCTAGTTATTATTTTTTTATAGCCAGCCATCAATGACCAACAGCTCATTCTAGGTAATTCCTTATGCTTCTCTCAGAGGGCCAGCTGGTATAACACAGAATCCCACTGAGGGCATGGCTCAAGTGGTAAAGTGTCTGCTTAGTAGAAAACAAAAAAAAATTGTAAATCAAGGTAAGAATCCCAAACTGCTGAGATTAATAGAAGTCTACGGGAAAAATCACCCTTAGACCTAGATACTCACTAAAGATGTTCCCATGCTGGCAAAACAGTACTGTGAACACAATTCAGTGGCAGAAATGAAGAGGGGGCACTTCTGCCACCTTGTGGCCGTTTATCCAAATTGTTTATTTAGGTTTGGAGATGAAACTGCAGTGGCTGAATCTCCTTGAAAGACAGTGTTCCAGTCCTCTGAACAGTTGGGTCATGTTCCCTTGACTGTGACCTCAGATACACACGTTTGCCTCTAAAGTCCATTAGAAAAAAAGCTATTTGATTTGGCCAGATACAAATTTATAAGAGAGAGAGAGAGTGTGTGTGTCTCTGTGTGTGTGTGTACTATCCTAGGCTGGCCTGAAACCCACTATGTAGCTCAAGCTGACCTCAAATGTGAGATCCCCTGTTTCAGCCTCTTAAATACTAGGATCATACATATGAACCACCACGCCTGGCTCATGTGTACTTTTTACTTGCTCATCTCTGGTGGACCACAGGACTCCACCAAATTGGCCAGGAACTATCTAGTCTAATTCTCCACTTTAGTGCTTGGATCAATATCTGCTCATAGTAAATGTTTCCTAATTCATAGGATAATCTATGAATGAAGAATCCACTGTGACAATGTAATAGGTGGATGAGAATAGCTTCCCATCATGGGCTACCCAGGCTTAGCCTCATTGGTCAGAGCGATAACCACGGCATGTAAATTTACCAAATCAGATGTGTGCAGTCTATTGGTCTGAAATAAGACTTTTAATCTGTCTAAACTATTAATTTATCAGTCTCTGGGCTTGCTACCCCAGAGTCTCAGTATATGAGCACGAGATGGATGAATGTAACTGGCTAATGGTGGAGATAAATGATCAATATATTTGAGCCCAAAGGGAACTGACTTCAACCTGATGAACTCAACTCCTCGCATGGTCAGCTCAGCCTTGGGCCTTTTGATCAATTTGGGATATCACAAAGTGGCAAGATATGGTGTCAGTGTCTCGTGCAAGTAATGCTAGCTACTCAGGAGGCTGAGATCTGAGGGTCAGTTTGAAGCGAGCCTGAAAAAAGACTGTGAGACTTTTTATTGTCGGTCATGTGTCTTGAATAGGGACTTTTCTGCCTGGGATGGCTTAGAACTGTGATTCTCAGATCTCAGCCACCTGAATAGCTAGGATTATAGGCGTGAGACACCAGGGCCCGGATCTGTGAGATTCTTCTCTCCAAAAAAAACTACTCAGGAAAAGCTAGGAGTGGTGCTGTGGCTCAAGTGGTAGAGCGCTAGGCTTGAACACAGAGAGGCTCAGGGACAGCGCCCTGGCCCTCAGTTCAAGCCCCAGGACTGGCAAAAAAAAAAAAAAGTCTGAGAAAAGTGAAAGACCAGGCCCTAACCATACAGCTCCTGGTATGGCCATGTATTGCTTGGCTTTTGGTCTGTGCCTTCACACTGCCATCTTTTCTTCTGTCTCTTTTTCATGTGTCTTTCTGAAAGTGTGTCATTGCTTTAGGGCCCAAATGAAAATCCAAGAGGGGTTTCAGGTCCTTTTTACATCTGCAAAGGAGACCTTTTTTTTTTCTTTTTTTTTTGGGGGGGGGGTCCGGTTGTGGGGCCTGAACTCTGGGCCTGGGCGCTGTCCCTCAGCTCTTCAGCTCAAGGCTAGCGCTCTACCACTTGAGCCACAGTGCCACTTTTGGCTTTTTTTCTTATATGGTGCTGGGGAATCGAACCCAGGCTCTCATGCATGCAAGGCAAGCACTCTACCACTGAGCCATCTTCCCAGCCCCGAGACCCTTTTCTTAAATAAGGGCACTTGTGATTTGTTAATGTGGTTCTAGCGCTCAGAGGCAGGCATTTTCATTCACCATTCACCTTTCAACACAGGCTGCAGATACACAGGGATAGGTCTCAAATTAATCTTCTTGCGGTACCATAACATTTCTTTCCTTTTGCTGGCCAGAGACACACACTTTGTAAAATAGTTTAACTTTTTGATGGTCACTTAAATTTCCAGTTCTTATTTCAGCAACTGGGCCATCCTCAGGGGAGTCTTCTGTCTGTGTGAATCTGGAGTCTGCATGGTTGGGGGGGGGGGATGTCCAGTATTACCACCAGGTGGCAGCCAAGAACTAGGGGTCAGAAGGATCTACCTGGCTGCGACTTGAGATACAAGTTATGATCTTAGCTTCTGAACCCAGATCCCCCAAGTTCCCCAGAAAGAACATAGTTGATTCAGCTTTGCTGTGGCCCCAATCTGGCCTCCCTTACATAGGGGCAAAATAAGAAATTCATTATCAATAATCCTGGGTGGATTATAAAAGGAACTAACTTTATTGGAATCTGATTATTCAAACTTTTGGAATGTTCAAATATAGCCCAAATATGCTCCCAAATTATTTCTAAATCTAAGTTAAAAAATGGCAAGAGAAAAGCAGTAATAATGATTCTATGAGACTTTTTAATCTACTTGGTCCAAGACAAGCTATGTCTTTTGATCTGATCCATGTCCCATTTCCTGCTTCAAGAAAAAATATTATTTTAAATTAAGTAGTTGCACAAAGGGGGTTTCAATTCCACACGTCAGATTATGAGTATATGTGCTAGAGGCTTGGCCCAAGTGGTAGAGCGCCAGCCAATGAAAGCATGAGATCAAGAGTGTGGAATCTTGGTCTTGGACAAAAAAAAAAAGAAAAACAGATTATGAGAATGATGACTCTTGATCACTGTCACGTGTCTCTGAGAGAGCCCTTATGGGGAGGAGAGGTTCCGGTGTGTCATCGAGGAGACAGAATAACATAAACGTGATTACTACTCACCACATGGTGATTGGCTGATGAAAACCCACGGTGAGCAGGTGCTCAGCAAGTAAAAGACCTGTGGGAGCAAAGCTTCTGAGGTCTCCAACGCTCCCTTATCTGCAGTTCTGGTTGGTGGGTTTCAGGCTCCACTGTCACAAAGCACAACTGCAGTTAATGTGGAGTGTGAGACCTGGCTTGTCTGGCTGTCCAGGGGAGGCAGAGGAATGGGTCAGCATCAGGGTGGATTGCATGAGGCACTGTAAGAACTCAAACTGTCAAGGATGACTGAACGCTGCTTCTGGTATGAGAAAAGGCCAAGGCCACATAGCTATAGAACCTGCTATATGAAATGGCTTTCCCATGACCCTGAAGCAGGGGAGGAGAGGTCACAGCAAAGATCTGATTGGAAATCACCAACCAATCAGGTGTTGATGGCTCACACCTGAAATCCTAGCTTCTTAGGAAGCTGAGATCTGAAGGCTGCAGTTCAAAGCCAGTCTGGGCAGGAAAGCCCCTGAGACTCATCTCTAATTAACCACCAGAAAACAGGAAGTGATGCTGTGGCTCAAAGCGGCAGAGCACTAGCTTTGAGCAAAAAGAACTCTGGGACAATGCCCAAGCCCTGAGTTCAAGCTTTAGGACTTTAAAAAAAAAAAAGTCACCTTCCACACCAGGCACTGGTCACTACTCAGGAGGGTGAGATCAAGTCAGCCTGTGCAGTCCGGAGACTCTTATATTACAAAACTCAGAGACAGTGCCCAGACCCTGCGATCAAGTCTCAGGACTGGCACCAAAAAAAAAGTCACCTAATTACAAGAGGAAAAGCCATAGGAGAAGTTTGTTCTGACCAGTTGTCCCATGTCTCCCTTACATAGGGGTCATCAATCAGAGAACAGCTCAGAGTACAAAAAGACCCCACGCTCAGCCATCGATGGGGGAGGGGGCAGTCAGGTGCCAAGCAGCGCCAACAGCAGCCTTCGAGATGCTTCTCTTCAAAGCTCTTCACACTGGTCCTGTGGACTTCATAAGGCCAAAAACTCCGAAGGGAACAGGCAGAAATAGAAGAGTATGTCTCAACCCCAACACATACACACATTTTCCAAGGTTGAATTTCTAGGTTTCCCAGAGCATGAGCCATGAGCTTTTCTCATTAAGTTCAATGTTGGCTTATCAGTGTGGTAGTTTCTTAAGGGAGAGATAAAGGCAGCATTTCATAGGGTGATGTTAGTTCTCTGTGCTGTGGCAAGACTTTGTCCTGTGGCCCACTTGATTCAGGTACCACTGAAACTTGAGAATCTTGTCCCTGCGCCTCTAAATGGCAAGAAACCTTTCTGTTGCGTGAGCCACTGAGAGGGGTCTGTTTCCCATCAGCCTGTCATCATAATGTGGGACCTAGGAGCTCTTTTGCCTGAGCCTTGCACACTTGTGCTAATTGGGGGCAGGGTTTCATGCTGGTGATGCATGTCATAACTTTGGCCCATTATTAGGGTCTTACCTGCCCTGTTCTGTGCTGGAGGATGCCTTGATGGGCCTGAAATAGTATCTCAATTGGGGGGGGGGTGTCTCCTCATCCACATGCATCTCCACACTTGGCTCTTTAAGTCATGTTTTATAGAGACACAGGAGTCTGACAAAAATAACTTTATTTATGATAAGATATAGAGGCATTCACAAAATACCAATGAAAAATCATTTCTTGTTCACTTTCTAAGTCTCAGATCCTTCTCTTTGTTCTAGGAAAGAATGTCCTCTTCCAAACTTCTCATTTAGTTTTCTCAACATTCTAGCTACTTACTATCCAGAAAGTTTCTTTCCCTTGGACCTTTACAACTTCTCAAGTTTCTGTTCACACGCCCTGGCTTGGGTCATGTGTACTTCCTTCAGTGTTCCCTAGGGAAGGGCCTTGCGTGAGACTCATCCACTAAGCCCCTTTCAGTGTATTTTGTTCACTGATAATGCCAACCAGGAAATTTGCAAAGGGTAACATTCAGCAAATTAAACCCTTAAATCCTAAGGATGATAACTTCACAACTGAAACAGCAGGCTAGACAATGTTTTTATGACAATATTTTTGTGTGCAAAGCACACCATGTTTAACAAATTTTATACATAACCATATAGACAAATCCTCCAGACTATTCCTTTTAAAATGATTGTCATGGCCAACAAAAACAAAAAACAAGGTGGGGTGGGGTGGGGTGGGGGAGTTGGAGGAGTGGAAAGTGTGAGAAAAGGAGGGAGGGGATAATACTATTCAACAAGAAATGTACTCATAACCTTACTTATGTAACTAACTCCTGTGTACATCACCTTTACAATAAAATTAAATTAATTTTTAAAAAGAAATAAATAAATAAAGAGAAAGAGCCCAAATCTGCAGCCCTCTTAGAACTGAAACAGAATAGGAAGACATTTGCATGAATCTTCCTGAAGATGTACTGCAGGCACGATCTGGCCTCAGTGAAGGGCTGACTCCATAGCTTTTCTGGGGTAGAAAAGGGTGTGTCGATTGACGTGAACTCAGAGCCATGGCTCCACTTGTGGCTTTTCCTACCCAGGCTAGTTTCCAATTGTGATCTCCAGACCTCAGCTTCTCAAGCAGCTAGTATTATAGATATGAGTGACGGGTGCCCAGCGATTTTTTAAATAAATATACAAACAACAATAACAATAATAATAACAAAAACCCTGACCCTTAGCAGGTCACATAAGTAGCAGCACCATAGGCATCAAAGGAATTAGAACATAGCAACATGGTTCACAATCACATATGCTTGAGAACATATACACTGGAGGATGTACTGAATGTAAATTAGAAGATCATGAAACTACAACTCACAATATGGGAAGGAAAACTATTTCCTTAAAAGGGTTCAGTCTGAACTGGCCCGGCAAAATAACTAATAGTATCACAGCAACACTGTAAACAACAAATATGAAAAAAGAAAACAACATGGAATACATAGCCTAAAGACTCTTAAGGGTTTTAGAAAGCCCAGGAATACATTTTATATCACAAAACGGTCCATATCGCCCAAAAATATCTTTGGACTGCACAGTAAAGTAGTATTTGTTGGAAACCAGAAACTGAGATAAAGTGCAGGCCATCGGGAGAGGCAAAGCTTTAATTTCTCCAATCTTCTTCCAAATCAGCTGACTGTTGGCGTTTTCGTGGCACAGGAAGAGGTGGTAGCTCTCCACGGGAGCACACTTGGGGTTAATCTTGCTGATATTCCAAGTCAGGGCAATGCCCAGGGGTTTCAGCACCCATTTCACCTTCAGCTCAGCCTTCTGGGGAGGAAGTGTGTCTCGGCTCTTGTCTGCCAGCTCAGGGAGCGGTAATGGTGCTTCTGGGAGAGGTGGCAGGTGATCAAAGGCATCTAAATTCTAAAAGCATATTTGTGAAGCGGTTTAGCAGGCTCATTGGGCGGGTCCTGAGTAGTCAATCACAGTGGTTACTAATCTAGTTCCCATTTTTCAGCCTTTTTATGAAAATTTTAAAAAGGTGATTTCAAGAGGCTATGAAGCTGAATTCACGCTTCAGCATGAGGACACCATCAAAGAAGTGAAGGTTTTCATCGTGTAAATGGTCACTGATCCAGAATGTGGTTAAAGTGCATGTCTCATGCCTGTGTAAACTGTCAGGGCTTAAGCAGCCATTTCCCTTCACCCTCATCAACAGTGGCTATTACTTTTAAAATGAAATTTCTTGGGCTGGGAAGGTGGCTCAGTGGTAGAGCGCTTGCCTTGCATGCATGAGGCCCTGGGTTCAATTCCTCAGCACCACATAAGCAAAAAGAAAAA